TAAACCTAAGGGCAATGCACTGTGTCTGGAGTGGGGTATAAATAATCTAAATAAGATAAATAAATAAAAATAGTGGTTTGAGTGTTGGACTATGACTCTGGGGACTAGGGTTCGAATCTCAGCTTGGCCATGGAAACGTACTGGGTGGCCTTGGGCAAATCACACTCTCTCAGCCTCAGGGAATGACCATGGCAAAACCCCTCTGAACTAACCTGGCCAAGAAAATACCCCATGAATAGAGAATCCCCGTGAATTGGAAATGACCTGGAGATAGACAGCATCAACAAATAAACCACACCATGTTAATATTTTATTTTATTTTATTCCTGATTTTCCTCAGGAATTGGGACAAACGCCCACTCTCTCCCTCTTTCAACTAGGCCTCTGAGGGCATCCATGGCAACCGTTTGAGCGGGATTTTTGTTGCTCTCTTCGAACGTTGGGCAGGCCCCGCCCCTCGAAAAGGATTGGACCGCCGCGTTGTCAATTCCGAGCCTCGCCGCATTATTGGCTGCCGGGGATGCCGGGCTCCGCCTCCGCGACTGGCCACCTTCACAGAAGCAGTAGGGCAAGCAGTTGAGTCTGAAGGCCGGCAGCAGCGGTGGTCTGGCTGTGGAGATCCGTCCCAGCGTCAGGGACCACTTGGAAGACACGCCGAAGAGGGCCCCTGAGCATGTGCAGAGTGCGTTTCCCACTTGGTTGTATTACATAGGAAACCCTTCACTTTGGAAAGTAGTGGAGGTTTGGGGTCTTTTTCCTCCCTAGGCATTGGCTTCCATTTTCAGTGGGCTTAGTTGGATATACCCGTGAGGGCAACCCTCCCTCTCTTTGTTAGCCTTTTTCTCCTTATGTTTCTGTTCCTCAACTCTTTTCCTGGCCAGTTGTGAGAGGAAAGGTGCCACTTAAAGTAGCAAATCCCTGTGAGACTCGTGGCCCTTGCTGTGTGGGCTCCCGTTTGCTCCAATAGGAGCCACCTTCCCTTGTTGTTTGTATAATTTAAGGCTTTACTTCAAGGGCTCTCTTTCACATTATACTGTTACAGCACTCTAATATCATTGTCAGCGCTATGGCTCCATCCTGTAGCATCCTGGGATGTATAGTTTCTGGGATGTTTAGTATTCTCTGCTAGTGAGACATAGCGGCTCACCAAACTACAAGTCACAGGGATTCCATTGGATGGAGCAGTGGTACTTAAAGTAGTATGTTGTTGTTAACCACCCTCCATTTGATCTCAACTCATGGCAACACCTCCAACACCCCTGTCCTCCTCTGCTTTGCTTAGGGGGTTGCAGACTGCCAGAAATAGTGCAAATTGAGTCCACTTTTAGGGTTAGGGTTAGTGCTAGGGAATCATGGGAATTGTTTTCTTTCTGAGACCTTGAGCCTTCTCTGTCAGAGAATTCTGGTGCCACAATAAAATACAGTTCCCATGATTCCCTAGCACTAACCCTAACCCTAAAAGTGGACTCAATTTGCACTATTTCTGGCAGTCTGCAACCCCCTTAGTTCCTGCAAATTCATACTTTTAGCCTCCTTATTTGAATCTGTCCATCTAGCTAGTGGCCTACCTCTCTTTCTGCTTCTTTCCACCTTTCCTAGCATTATTGTTTTTCCCAGTGAGTCATGACTTCTCATGATGTGGCCAAAGTATGACAGCCTCAGTTTTGTCATCTGGTTTGATTGCTCTAGGACCATTTGCTTGACTTCTTGGCTGTGCATGGCAACCTCAGTACTCTTCTCTAGCACTGCATCTCAATTAATTTTTTTCCTATCCACTTCCTTAACTGTCCATAGCTTGGTCCCATTCTGTTGAATCCTGGGATTTACAGTTTAGAGAAGGTATTTAGAATTCTCTGGCAGAGAGCTGTAGTGGGTTTTGTTGTTGTAGTGTAGTGCCTTTTGTTGTTGTTGTTATCCACCCTCAAGTGAATCTCAACCCACGTCGACCCTGTAGATGAGACATCTCCAAGACTCCCTATCTTTCATTACTTCAAGGGCTTACTTACTGCTCAGGTCTTGCAAATTCATACCCGTGACCGTGACAAGGGCTTACTTACTGCTCAGGTCTTGCAAATTCATACCCGTGACCTCTTTAATAGAATCCATCCATCTAGCATGTGGCCTTCCTCTCTTTCTACTTCCCTCCACCTATCCTAGCATTACTGTCCCCCCCCAACCCCCATGATTCATGTTTTCTCATGATGTGGCCAAGTACCACAACCTCAGCGTTATCATCTTGGCTTCCAGTGAAATTTCCAGTGAAATTTCAGGTTTAATCTGTTTTAGGACCCTTTTGTTTAATTAAATGGTAAGAGTGCAATTAAAACACTATAATCAGTAGATGCTCAGAGGAGTGTGAAAGAACTGCAGTTTTAAAACTTAGGAATTTTTAAATCCTTTCACCTTTCCTAGCATTAAAAGCAAAGCAAAGCAGCTTATTTATATACCGCTTCATATCACGCTATGGGATGTCTAAGCGGTTTACAACTGTGAGCTGATTGCCCCCCCAACAATCTGGGTACTCATTTTAGCGACCTCGGAAGGATGCAGGCCTGAGTCGAGCCTCAGCCCTGGCTGGTATTGAACTCGCAACCTTGTGGTTTATGAGTGAGTGGCTGCAGTACAGGCATTTAACCACTGCGCCACCATTATTTTTTCCAGTGAGTTGTGCTTTCTCATGATGTATCTGATGTGACTTTCCACTCTACCCCATGGGAAGTAGACACAAGTCTGCAAAAGCTCATGCTACCAGCTTCTCTCTTTCAGTCAGTCTCAAAGGTGCTACAAATAATGTGGAACTTTTGTTGTTAACTGCCCTCAAGTTGATCTTGACCCATGGCAACCCTGTGGATGAGACAACTCCAAGACCCCCTGTCCTCCACTACTCTGCTTAGTTCCTGTACATTCATATCCGTGATCTCCTTAATAGTGTCCATCCATCTAGCATGTGGCCTTCCCCTCTTTCTGATTCCCTCCACCTTTCCTAGCATTTTTTTTCCAGTGAATCCTCCCTTCTCATGACGTGTCCAAAGTATGACAGCCTCAGTTTTGTCATCTTGGCTTCCAGGGAGGTTTCTGGCTTGATCTGCTCTTAGGATTCATTTGTTTGTCTTTTTGTCCATCCATGGCATCCTCAGCACTCTTCTCCAGTACCACAACTCAAATGAATTGATTTTCTTCCAATCTCCTTTCTTAACTGTCCATCTCTCACAGCCGTACAGGGTAATAGGGAATACAATGGCTTGTATAATTCTAACTTTTGTACTCAATTGTATATCTTTGCATTTTAGGATCTTTACTAGTTTTTTCATAGCTGCCCTCCCCATTCTTAATGTTCTGATTTCCTGGCTGCAGTACCTATTCCTATCAATGTTTGATTCCAGGTATGGGAACTCTTTTACTACTTCTATTTCTACCTATCTAGGTTGAACTTGTGTAGATTCTCCATGTTTGTTTTTGTTTTCTTTATGTTCAACAATAAGCCTGCCTTTGCACTTTCTTCCTTGATCTTCCTTAATAGTTCTTTGAGGTCTGGGAGGTTTTCTGCCACCTTCCCTACCCCCTTTAAAAACATTTAATCTCTCCTGACTCTTTTATGTTGCTGAAGAAGCTGGTTTACCTCTGTGTGTGTGTGTGCGTGCGTGTTGTAGTTTGTACAGTGGATCAAGGTTTGGACCCCTGTGGGTACAAAGATCAATGGATGCTCAATGTCGTAGTAGAATTGTTGTTGTTATGTCAACAGTGATGCTGCAACTAAAAAGGCCAATGTAATTCTAGTGTGCATCAATGGAAGTACAGTCATCCCTTCCCATTCACGGCTTTGGGATTAGTGAATTTGGTAATTCACGATCTCAGTGTGAGCCCCACTCACCTCCTCCTGTGCTTGGGACAGATGACTGCAGCTGTTCCAGGCATCAGAGAAGGAGGTGGGCAGGTCTTGTGCCATTCACAAATTTTCCATATTCACAGGGGTCTTGTTCCCCTAACCCCCGCAAATATGGAGGGATGACTATAATGTCTAGATCAAGGGAAGTAATAGTGCCACTGCATAATAGTGCCACTGCAGGCCCCACCTGGAATACTGTGTCCAGTTCTGGGCACCACAATTCAAAAAGAACATTGAGAAACTGGAGCATGTCCAAAGGAGGAGGACTAAAATGGTGAAGGGTCTGGAAACCATGCCGTATAAGGGCAAACTTAGGGAGCTGGGTATCTTTAGTCTGGAGAAGAGAAGGTTAAGAGGTGATATGATAGTCCTGTTTAAATATTTGAAGGGGTGTCATATTGAGGATGGAGCAAGCTTGTTTTCTTCTGCTCCAGAGAATAGGACTTGGAACAATGGATGCAAGCTACGGGAAAAGAGATTCCACCTCAACATTAGGGGGAACTTCCTGACAGTGGGAGCTGTTAGACAGTGGAACACACTTCTTCAGAATATGGTGGAGTCTTTTTCTTTGGAGGTCTTTAAACAGGGGCTGGATGGCCATCTGTCAGGAGTGCTTCGATTGTGAGTCCCTGCATGGCAGGGGTTGGACTGGATGGACCTTGGGGTCTCTTCTACCTCTATGAGTCTATCTGCCTTTAAGTCGTATTCTAGGAGCTGTAGTACAGAAAGTAACTTTATGAAACTTTAGACAGAGCCAGAAGGTATGGCCAGTCTGTTGCCTCATACATTAATCAGCCTTATGTGTGGAGGGAATATGTGAACCAGGTTGAAATCAGAATTTGTTTTCAGTGCCTTTATTTAGTATTTAGTAATAAT